AGGTAGTGCTGTCGCCTCACAGCAAGAAGGTCGCTGGGTCGCTGGTTAGAACCTCGGCTCAGTTGGCATTTCTGTGTGGAGTTTGCATGTTCTCCCTGCCTTCGCGTGGGTTTCCTCCGGGTGCTCCGGTTTCCCCCACAGTCCAAAGTCATTCGATACAGGTGAATTGGGCAGGCTAAATTGTCCGTAGTGAATGTGTGTGTGGATGTTTCCCAGAGATGGGTTGCGGCTGGAAGAGCATCCGCTGCGTAAAAACTTGCTGGATAAGTTGGCAGTTCATTCCGCTGTGGCGACCCCAGATTAATAAAGGGACTAAGCCGACAAGAAAATGAATAAAGATTATGCAGGGTTGATTATTCAATATACCTAATGCACCTAAATAGTGAATATTTAAATACTATAGTTCACTTTAATTTTTAAAACATTTTATTTATCTATGCTTATAATTTATTTGTTATGTATTGTTTAAGATTTAAATCATCTGGTGAAATTGTATTCAAATTGCAATATATACCACAGAAATACAAATTCAAGAGTTCACACTTAGCTGATGTTTGATTATAAAGCTTTATAAAGCTTTATGATATATAAAGCTTTACAATTGTCAAAGTAAAAGTGCTACTATCTACCAACATTTTACAAAATATCTTTTGTGTTTAACAGAACAAACATACTTAGTATACAGGTTTCGAGGAACTGGTGCTCAAATTGAGCATCGGAATGGAAAAAAAAAGTTATTTACTGTAAGTACTGTAACTTTAAACATGGGATGTGTGTTGCTGGCAGATGGGCTAGTCAGAGTCTTTCAGAAAGATGTTTCAAGTTCAAGATAAAAAGGCAACAGTAACTCAAATAATTTGCTACAACCAAGGTGTGCAGAAGAGCATCTCTGAATGCACAACACATTCAAAATCAGCAGCTGATCAGCAGAAGATCACACCAGTGACACTCCTGTAAGCTAAGAGCTGCAAACTAAGACTACAATTCACACAGGCTCACCAAAACTAGACAACAGATAAGACAAGACTGGAAAAAGGTTGTCTAATCTGATGAGTCTTAACGTTTGCTGCAACACTGAGATGGTAGAGTCAAAATTTTCTGTAAACAACATGAAATCATAACTTCCCCAGCCTTGTATTCACCGTTGAGGCTGCTGGTGGTGAATGTATATGGAAGGGATTTTCTTCGCACATTTCTGGCCCCTGAATCACAACTGCGCATTGATTAAACACCACAGCCTACTTACTAATCATGTCCATCCATTTATGACCATTTACCTCAAGTCAGATATTATACTCAAATCATATCAAACTGTTTTTTTTTTAATATTGCCGTCCATGCACTATACTCAAATCTCCACAGTCAGCAGATCTCAGTTCAACAGAGCAACTTCGGGATCTTGTTGAATAAGAGATTTGCTTAATGGATGTACAGTCAACTAATATGCTGTAAATAAATATGGACCAAAATCTCTGAGGATTTTTCAAGCATCCTGTTGAATAAGTGCCATGAAGAATTAAAGCAGTCCTGAGGAAAGCAGGAGAACCAACCTGGTGCTAGCACTGTATGTTAATAAAGTGGCTGGTGATATATACTTCCTTTCCAAAATAAAAGAAAAAAGTCACCTCCTGGAAATAAGCAAATAGGTAAGAGGATAATTGCTGAATAAATGAATAGTGCATGTTTCAACAGGCAACAAGTTATTTAATCCTAATGGTCGTCACGCACAGAAGTTTCATGTTTTTTTATATTTGTATCTTAATAAGATGTCATGCACAGAAACCTTGTACACTGAGTTTAATGTGCATTAATTAAACCATTGCAAACTAATTGCAAAATAATTTGGAGTCAATTAAAGTGCTGCTTTTGTCCTCCAATCCATTGCAAAGAGATATTCAAAGTTTTTTTTTTTTTTTTTTCAGGAAATCTGGCGTTTTGATGCTTTGTTTGTGATACTGCAGGCACATAACACAAATTTCCATAAACAAATTAATCCTGAACAGAGACTGGCAGTACATCAAAGGTATGGACACACGCACAGTTGCCAAACAGTGGCATGGGAAAGAGGCAGCAATTGAAATCAGCATACAATACACTACAGCAGTGGTTCTCAACCATCTGCCATATTCTGACTTTATATTAAACATTTTGTTTGTCATTAAAGTGCTCAGGGCTGTCAATGACTGCATTTTGGATTTTGGCTTTTAAGGTGGTTCTGAATTGTCAAAACACCTATCAAAGTGCTTTCTATAGATGTACAAATCTAACACAATGCATTTTATGATGAGACAGCAGCTTCTAATAATAAAAAAAAAAAAAAAAAAAATATATATATATATATATATATATATATATATATATATATATATATATATATATATATATATATAAATAAAACACGTCAGAAGACAAATCCTGTGATTTAAAAGGGTAAAAGTATTGGCATACATCAAACAAAGAAAGCATGTAAGCAGATTCCTGAAACGATTAAAATTAGGTTAACTGTCCAACACATTTCTAAAAAGTAGAAGGATAGTGGGCATCCATCAAGCTTTTTTTGTCACTGTACATGCAAGCAGAGCGTAAGCAGTGCATTTTTGTCCATGCTAACAGGTTGTAGTTTTCGTACCACAGGTAGTAGCAGTGCAGCAGCGTGGAGCCTATAGAACTGAAGCAGCAGTGCTGCGATCATTTGGTGCTCTGTCTTTTTTTGCCACGCTTATTACGCTCAATTAAAATGACAATGCATTGATAATGACCAAAAACATATTGAATGACAGTAAAAAGTAGCAATTTTACCCAATAAATGCATCAATAATGTCCACTGATTTCATATAGTCAATCAAATGAACTTGAACCACAAAAAAATGCATTTGAGCCTGAACTACAAAACCAAATTTAAAACTATTTTTAGTAACAGTTTTGCTAAAGTTGCACACTAGATTGATCATGTATAAATGCAGCCTGTGCAGTAAGCAGACACAGGTGATGCACAAATGATTTACATGTAAACATTAATGCAAAGATGCAATTAGACATACTGTTGTGCGTTTTGAACGTTTGACACCCATCTAAAATAACAAAGTAGTAAAACAGACAGAACAGCAAGCAGCTTACAGTGATGGAGATTGGTTCAAGGATGATGGCTGCTGGACATTTTTGCTTTACATGTACGGTATGGCTGGTATTACAATGTGCGTCAAATCGATAAATTATTTTGCTTAACTCTGACATTAAGCAAATTTCCCTGACATTGACGAGTTTTATTGCAATCCATATTTTATGTGTATTACGGTAGGGGAAGCCCTAACTCATGTCCTAAGTGAGGTATATGGTGTCAGATGCTCTAGGGAGTGTAATCTAAGAAAGAGAAAATAAGATTGTGGATAAAAATAAGAGTTATACAACCTTGTTTTAGATTAATCCCTACTGTTTTAGAACTGTTTTTAGATGTTGACAAGAGACAAAAATAAAGAAGATTTATTTTTATCATTTTTGACATTGTGTCTGATTGCACACCTGACATAGTAGGCTACCTAATATGATAAATAAAATATTTAAGAAATTAATTCTCACAATTCCCTGAATTTCCACAACAAAATCTATAACATGCTATATATATAAATGGATGGATGGATGGATGGATGGACGGACGGACGGACGGACGGACGGACGGACAGACAGACAGACAGACAGACAGACAGACAGATAGATAGATAGATAGATAGATAGATAGATAGATAGATAGATAGATAGATAGATAGATAGATAGATAGATCTGCCATTGTAAAAGGCTCATAGTTAAGGAAGAAATGTGTGTCTAGTAAAATCAAATCATTGAAAAACAACAGTGATTAATAGTGAAAGTATGATCATTTTCAAATGCACAATGCAAAGGGAACTAAAGGGATTGGTGCTAAACCATTGTGTAGCCTTAAGAAATCAGTGAGGCTGAACAGAAATAAAGGCGACAATTTTCAAAAGAGCAAAAAGATTGGACTCAGGAGCAATGGAAGAAGGTCATGTGGTCCTATGAGTTCAGAGTTACCCTATCCCAGAGTGACGGACACATCAGGGTAAGAAAAGAGGAAAATAAAGTGATGCACCCATCAAGCCTGTGGAGCAAGTGCTGTGATCTGGGGATGCTGAGTTGGTCAGGTTTAAGTTCAGTTATGTTATTTGTCAAAGGAATGAGGTCAGCTGACTATTTGAATATAGCTAATGACAGGAATATTCCGAGATGACAATCATTCCTGTCAACCCTCCTGTTTTTCCTCAGGATTCTCCCATATTTTATCATGTATATCATCCCATTTTTTCAATATTTGTCCTATATTTTTTTTCTCCCTATTTCTCTTTCAACTATATTTATTTACAATTAAACTGCTCTGAATGTACAGATTTAGGAGTTTGGGGTCTTTTAAACGTGTTGTTTAAATATGTGGGTTTGAAGATGTGGCTGAGTAACATATTTTAGATTGTCAAAAATGTACACAGTGGCCTAGTAGATTTGAGAAGAAAAAAAAAAACTGCAAGCAGGCATAGCCCCAGCCACGTATTTCATAATTCTCAAAAATGTAGCCCTGGGCACGTATCTACAATGAGCCTGGGTTGGCAAAAACCCACTGAAATAATGCCATGGTGAATGCACGCTCTAATCAAAGCTAAAGGCAATCCAATGAAATATTAAAGTACATGATTTTTTTCAGTGTGTGTTCAGGCAGTGTATATCAGATCATTTTAAACTTTCAAGCATATCTATGTGAGCTACTGTAAATGAGGTGCATAGTCTCTCTTTCAATATACTCCAGATCCTGTGATAAAACTACTATTGAAGCCTCTTACTCCGAGAGCCATTAATCATTTGTAAAATATTCTTCTGTAAATGCTGTATTCAATAAGAGGAATAATTTATAACTTTTGCACAGCTTAAGATCCACACGGGACTATAACACTGACATGCTAAAAATGATCCTTTGGAGTGTACAGTTGATCCTTACCCACAGCCTTCAGAGAGGCGTATTTGTTGAGGTCTTTTGCCGATTGCTGTTGCTCATAGACATGGGACAGCTGGCTGAGGGCTGGATACGGGTGCGTTTGCATCATGTTGTTTATCTGGCCGGCTTCTGCAAAACAAAACCAAATATTGTTAAAGGGTTGCATCAGGATTTTGTCTTAATTTACAGCATTTTCTTAGTCAGTCCTGATAATATGTCATACTTACTGCTGCATAATGTCAGCTGGTTTAACACTAATAACAAAAAAGAAACAGACCATATAGTGCCCAGCATAAACACACTTTGAGCAGTACTATTTTGATCAATTTCACGTTAGCATTATAAAAATATTGTATTTTAGTGTACATTTTTTTCAACTAATCAAACACTAACAAAATAAACTCCTAATTCGCTACATTTTAATAGTAAGATACATTTATACAACAGTTCTTAAATTATAACCAAGTGATATTCTGAAAAAAACCACAAACGCACAAACAGCCTCCTCACCCTTCTGTATTACTCCTCCCACATAGAGTGAACCAAATTAATAGACTTACTACAGTTTGCAAAATATTAAAAAAGAAAAAGTCAGCGTATTTCTACAGCTGATCAAATCATTATAAAACAGGTAAGTAAAATCCATGTGGAGGTCTTTCCTGATGCAACCAGTTTGTCTAGTTAGCTCATCGTGTACGTCGGTGGACTTTAGACGCAAAAAGGAGTTGACCATGACGACGACGACCAGGTTCGAATCCTGGGAAGAGCTGTTCCAGAAATCAGGTAATACAAAAACCAAAAAAATATAAAATAATAATAATAATAATAAAAATTGAATAACAGGATGAAAATGTGGTAAAATCTGAAAACGTGGTAAAGATCAGACAAGGGATTTTCTTTTTCTGGACGGCTTTCGTAAATCGTTGGTTGGGTTTAGGGAGATAAGTGGGTGGGCGGGTCAATCGATAAAATTGGTTAGGTTTAGGGAAGGAGAAAGGTGGGTTAGTCAATTGTTCAGTCGGCCATTCAATTATTCAGTCAGTCAGACAGACAGTCAGTCGACAGCAGCCTCTGTTGGGTCTACGTGAGAACAGAACTCGCGATTGAAAATTGAAATTTGAAAAAGCGCACACAGCGGCCTCTAGTAGAACCAAAACTGCAAAAATATATAATTCACGGGACGTATTTTATGGTCTCCAGAAATGTCCATGGGACTACATATTTAGAATGAGCCTGGGTTGCATTCACACGAGGCTTCAGCGTCAACAATTGAGTGAGGGCGTGTTTGAAATTGGGTCTGACGCAGTTGTCATAGCAGCATCAACCAATGAAATTAGTCCACAATCTGCTACTGTCTGAGCTAGGGTATTTGCATAAAGCGATCTGATTGAGAAATCCACAATTTAGTTTGGCAACGCTTGACTTCACCCATTTAAAGTAAATGGGAAGTGCTGATGCTGATGCCAAGTGTAAATGGGGAGTTAGGCATGAGGCCACTATGCACGCCTCCCACCAGTGGCGATATAAAGTACAGCTATATCACAATGCTACTCGTGTGATATTGTTTAAATATATATATATATATATATATATATATATATATATATATATATATATATATATATATATATATATATATATATATATATATATATATATTTAATAAAAAAGTAACTAGTAACGATTTACTTGAGCCATCTTTTTATTAAATACTTTTACTCGATTAACTTTTAAGATTGTTACTTTGACTTTTACTTGAGTAAAAAATTATGCAATTACTTGTACTTTTGCTTGAATCTAGATTTTGCATACTCTACCTACCTCTGCTAATAAACAGCCAATGTCCTAATGATATGCAGGTAATAAGCCACTAGTTAATAGTGAGAATTGGTGCTAAAACTAAATCGTTACCAAAATAGATCTAAAATATCATTTTATATTTCCAGCGCTCATTTTTGTACCATAAAAAGTTATTTTGTTAGACTAGTGCAAGGTTTTTAGCTAATCTAATGTAAAATTAGATTTAACCAGATTTGCACAAATACGTCATTATATTCTGTAGCGTCCCATTGAATATTTGAATTCAAAAGCGAGATGACAAATGTGTCATAAAACTCATTTCCATCAGGCACTGTACATACAGTGCACGGAAGAAGAAATAGATCTGATAATGAGCTGTTTGATATGCGTGTGTGTGTATGGCATGTGTCACAACCAGGGCCGATCTGCCTCCTGTGATGTGACAGTCAACGAATAAGCGATGGTATGTATATACAAGCGGTTGCATTGATTTCCTCCCTTGACTTCCTCCGGTTCATAGAGATGAATTGTCAACAGTGAATGACGATCAAAGAGGTGTAACCTGCGTGGCAGAGCTGTCAGCGTCGAGCTCCTGTTGTGACTAATTAATCACTTAGCCCTGCAGCAGGGTTTCTGACACACGTCTGTACTAAGCGCCGCGCAGTGACTCACTCCACACCAGACATCACACACATTACCGCAAACACACTATAGACTACTGTACACTCATTAGTGCGTGGTATGCTTGTTTTCGCTTATGTTTTTGTCAAATAATAACAGATTTGACTTTTTTTTTAAGCACGTGGAAAATGCTATTTATTTGCCAGAAGTACATCACTATATTCAGTTATGTAATGTTTATAATGGGATGACTCAGGGAGTTGGATACTGAGCACTTTGAGTGAGCACTTATAATCTGAAAACAACAAAGTCTTGACTTTTGTACTCTTCTGTTTAAAGACTATTTTTAAATGAATCTTCGGTTTATCTGAGATCAGTGAATCACAAAATGTAGTAGTTTTCATAGAAATATTAAGCAACACAACAGTTTTTAGCACTGATAATAATACTTTTGTTTTTTGTCAATACTTTATTACTTTAGTAATTTTGTCAGCAAATTAGCATGTTATATGGTTTCTGAAATGTGTTTCACATAATCAAATTATTTATATTGCATTCTTGTTACAAAGGATAAATAAGTGTTGAGTTTTTATTGAGTTTTACATTTGTGACCATTGACCCCAAAAACCAATTATAATATTTCCACTATTGTATGATTTGCCGGGATAAAACTATATTTGGCTTAGATACAACTGTGTGAAACTCTAGAATCTGAGACTTAAAAAATTAAATAAAAATAAGGAGGTCAACCTTTAAAGTAGCCAAGAAATCAAAACAAATCATATGACTTTATTAGCTCACATTGCTAGTTTTGTGGTGAACAATTCATCCGTGTCTCACATCATTAAGGAAAAACAATGTTTGCTCTCGTAATCTTTAATTGAAATCTGAAAACGACTCCTGTTTTTTTCTTTTTTTCCAGTTAAATTGTCAGATAACGTATATCTTAGGAAATGGGCGTGGCTAACATATTTAACCACGCTTTTCCAACTGTCAGTTTTGACAGCAAACAAAAATGGTGAGCAGGAGTCGGTTGTAATACCTTTCCCCAAATACTTTCCCCGATCTTTCTGAATGAAACGCCTACTTTACTACAAGCATTCAGCTCACAGTAGAAAAAACAAACCATGGCCACTGTTTTCTCATTTAATATTCCGTTTATTCCTTTAAAAAATTAACAAATGATCAAAAAAGAAAACTTTTTATCAATGTGGTTTTTGCATCAAAGGCAAGTTATTTATTTTGGTTTCTGCACCGAAAAAAAGAAAGAAAAAAAAAGAAAAACACACACACACACACACACACACACACACACACACACACACACAAACACACACACACACACACACACACACACACACACACACACACACACACACACACACACACACACACACACACACACACACACACACACACACACACACACACACACACACACACACACACACACACACACACACACACAGAAAGCATATTATTTGTATGTTATATGTATGTTCTCTTTTGAAAAAATGTTACGCCAAAATATTGGTGGAATTATGTTCCAACAGATACATAATGTTTTAACAGATACATTTTTGTAAAAACATATACTTAATAAAATATATAAAAGGATAATGATTATGCTAAACTGAATTTTATTGTAATCATAGAAATGGCTTAAACCTAGTGGTTTAAAGAATAATGGCTAAGTTTTAAAATATTCAATTAATGCACTCCAGACTCCGGTGCCTAAGCTGCAGCTCTGCACAAGAGTTTGACCAGAGGAGAGATAGTCGTGCCTAACTAAGCCTGGTCTCTCTCTCTTTCAAGGTTTTTTCCTTCACTTTGGTTAATTGGTGAAGTTTTGTTCCTCGCCACTGTCGACACTGACTTGCTTGGTTGGGACTTGTGGAGCTGCACATCATTGGATTTGCTCTACAGTGTTTGGAATTTCAGCAGTGAAATTTAAACCACACTGAACTGAAATAAACTGAACTTCAACACTGAAAACTAGAACTCCTACTGTATGTTAAGCTGCTTTGGAGATTTTTTTGCAAAGAGCTATAGAAACAAAGATTAATGGAATTGAATTAGTATTTTGGAGCTAAGATAACTCATCTAATGTCATAAAATGATTTGTGTGTGTGTGTGTGTGTGTATTAACTTTTACATTCAATTACATTTTAGTGGGTGTATTCTGTAAATCATGGTAAAATGTGTAATAAAGAGGAGATTGTCAACCAAAATGTGCTAGGCCACATCCTAATGTAGGGAAAAAATTGCTGCTTGAAATCTTCTTGACCCATTTATATGTACATTAATTTCATTATTATATACAGTATTTTGTCAGTTCTTTGTGAAATAAGATTTAACTAAATAATGTTTAAATTAGCATTTAATTAGCAGTTTTAAAATTTAAACTCTAAGCAGAAAAGGGCAAAGGTCAGCAAGAGATTAATAAGTGTGCTGAGCGTGTCTTTCCAGTGTGCCAGTAAGAAAGTAAGTGTCGAGATGATGTGGTGAGCCATAGCTTTATGTATCTGACTCCAACAGCAAGGTCAAAAAACAAGACAGATTCCAGCAACTAACAATAAGTGCATATACACGTATCTTTAAAAGAGACATAAACACCTCTTTCTTGCAAAACATTTGTTGGTTTTTGGGCCAAACCGTTCCTGCTAAACATACATGCTGTTCATTTTGTACACCACAGATTTTGCGGC